AAAATGAAGACATAACACCTCTATGTATGATCCTATGGTTCTCTTGCTGGAACCACCAGGCTCCCTCAAGTTGTTTATAGCCTCCATTATGAGAATCTCCAACCTATAATTTAATGAAATACATAATGTCCTACGTCAGTGATACTTGATAGCTCAAAGACATCTTCATATACTATTCATAGATCACAAGTATACTCTTCAAGATTTCAATAATACAAGTAACATGCCTAAAAGTAACAAGGTATAAGCATGCTGGTATATATAATTATATATATATATATCAAGAACTACCAAAAAAAGGAACACACTTAACAATATCTAGTGTTCGTACTTTTCAGAATTCTATGTCTCACTCAAATATTAAAGAAAATATTGAACAACAAACACCATGAAAGCAAAGGACTGCCGCCAACAGAAACATTGTATTTAATAGCTTAGCTGGACTGTGAATAAATGTCTAACCGCATTATGGACCCCTTTGGAACATCATTGGGCGAAGAACCACCTGAACCAGTTTGTGGCCTTGTAACATCAACCATTTCTTCATCACTTTCACTTACTGCCGAAAGAGAGACGGAGCTTTCTCCAGGCTTGGAGGCAGAGTGTCTCCTCAATGCCAGTCTGGCTCTTTCTCGACATCCCCATCCATTTGCCATGGCACTCATGTTCCTCCATTTGTCCTAACCAACACCAAAAAATATTAAATACTAAACTGGAAAAAGCAAAGGGACAAGTACGAAAGAAATATTATCCCACTACCTTTAGATCAACATTGGACCTTAGATACAAAACTCCACTGAACTGTGGGTCCTTGAGAATCGTACGCCACTTTCCGGGCCCATGCTTGAGGACGCCAGCTTTTAGAGCTGCTTCTTCTTCTGCAGTCCACTTTTGCTTAGGTGCTCCCATTAATTAGCAGATTCTGAACAAAACCTCAGATAAGTTCAAGTGTACAGAAAAACAAAAAAAAAAACAAAACAAAAAAAAAAGAAGGAAAACCATGTCCAGAATGCTATCTAACCCCATGCATATAAGTTAGAAAACATTGCGGCAAAAGGCATGTGATGACAATGAAGAAAGCAACGGGAAATTATAATAACCGAAATATCGATTTGCACTAACAAAAAGGAAATCCACCTCAGAAGAAGAATGAAATTGAAAATGAACAACAAGTAATCCTCGATGTTCCTAATTGCTAGGACTATACCAACTAAATAATGATTAGATAAGGACGTAATTAACCAGTGAAATTATAAACTTCAGACCTGCATTCCATCATAAGCGTGAAAAAATGAACCCTAACCCTAGACCTACTTCTTAAGCCTTCGAAATTGGAACCAACCCCCCTTTAAAGGAAGGAATTGAATGAGGGGAAAAACGAAGAATTACCAGGAAAACGGGAGTAAGCGCATTGATTCAAGAATTTTGATTATCATAAATTGAACCGCCGTCGTGAATCGTCTTCTCTAATATGAAATGAACGCATTCTGCATTGCGATTCGTACATTACACGTGGAACGAGCCGGGTTCGACAATTGTTATAGACTTAGTCCTTACGTCCAACAAAGATGGCTGAGGAGGGAGTGAGGAAATCCGAACCGCCCCTAACAACATCGAATTGAACCGTATTAATATTAATTTGTGTAATATTAATTCATATTTTATTTACACAAACTCTTGGGCTTCTTTTTTGTTGATAGGATTAGATAATTAAAATTATTCAAGATGAGCTCTTGTTTGCTTTGAAAGATTAGGATTTTTTTGTTGATAGGATTAGATAATTAAAATTATTCAAGATGAGCTCTTGTTTGCTTTGAAAGATTAGGATAAGATTTATTTTATGTGGCGCACATGTGGCATGTGGGGGTCTACAGACTTATTAATTTTCTCTGATAATTTTTATCTCGGCCACTATATGGGATTGTGTTATCCCAATCCTGCTTTGACCATTATGCCCTCAATTTTGCTTACAAAAAGACAAGAATAACCCTCAATGTCCATATATCTACCATTACACCTCGACCCTTATATAAATAATAAAAAAATCGTGGCTTGCCCTAGTTTTGCAGCGGGGGTAGTTGCAGAGAGGGCTCGGGCACACATCGTCTTCACCGTCGGCAAGACAAGGCAAGCTCAATTTTAGCCTCTCTTTTTTCGATACAATGCATAGTATATTTACTTCGATAAGTCGGCCTGCTCGATTGGGAATTCAAAAAAAAATTTAGGAGACTAATTTTCGTTCAGGGTGTAGTTGCAGAGAGGGCTCGGGCGCACATCGTCTTCTCCGTCGGCAAGACAAAGTACACTCGATTTTAGCCTTTTTTTCTGATACAATGCATAGTATATTTATTTCGATAAGTAGGCCTGCTCGATTGGGAATTCGAATTTTTTTTAGGAGCCATAATTTCCGTTCGGGGTGTACGTACCCGTTATTTAGGTGTTGCAATTATATTTCTTTGTGATTCGATTACCTAAAATGTTATTTTGTTATTTGGTTCATACTTTTTTTTTTTTTAATAGTTCATTTATTTCGATAAATCATATTGGTCGATTTCAAAATTGATTTTTTTTTAAGAGCACTAATCTGCGGTCGGGGTGTAGGTACCCTTTTATTTGGTGTTGTAATTATATTTCTTTTGATTCAATTAACCAAAATTTTAATTTTTTTGAACAGTTCAGCTTTGGAAAATTGAGATATACTAAACCAAATTTTATGGCTATATTAGTCATATATACAACAGTAAGTAAGTTTACAAAACAAATTAAGGGTTATATTAGTCAAAGTATTATGGAATTACTCAAGTTAGCTTTTAAATATTTATGGAATGTCTGAACCTAAAATTATTGATTTAGAATAACATTATTGTTATCCAAACCAAATTACGAAGCATGCTTTTTCACCAAGTAGAATTCCGAAACGCGCAAGCCTGCCACTTAGGCTCAGCGCATTCTGGAATTATATATAGGGGGAATTATCTATCTATATTTATGTGGATATATATAATTTTTAGCAAATAATTAATAAAACCTCATTTATTTTTACTTCAAAGACGTTACTGTTCGCAAAATATTTTCACTACCCGCAAGTGTACGGTGTAGATACAGTAAGCGGTGAGCAAGGTCGTATTCCACAGAGATTGTCGTTAAAATAATTAAGTACCAAAATATAGACGATTAAATATTATTTAGACTAATGCAAATTTGAATAGTGATTTTATTCTAAACTAATGAATGATTGCAAAATAAATTCTAACACTAATGAAGACTTGTTCTACGATAAATCAAGAATGACAAAATAGATTTTAGGCTATGCTTTCCTCGGGATTATTCTAGCAAAGTTTTCTTGTTCATTCAAACCTTATTTAATTTTATCAATCGTAGGGATAATCGCTAAATTAATTTACACCTTTCTCTCGAACAAGTTAAATCGTAGATATTAATTGTTATCTATCTTCTCTCGGTCTCAAGATGAACAACTAACTCCCATAAGCTCCTAAGATTCTAGTTCCCTCGCACGATTCTATCAACCTCTCGGTCTGTTTAGTCTCTTACGTTATGAATTTCCCAATTCTAGCAATCAACTATCTCCGCTCGGTCTCAAGTAAATCACAAATATGCACAAATACGGACCCTATATTCTCACAATTCATATAAGCACAAGAAATTGATAAACGAATGATAAATCAGAATGAATAAATAAAATCACTTCATAAAATAATCCGAGTACTCACAAATCCTAGAATCCCTAAAAGGTTTAGCTACTAAACATATTCTCAAAACTCAAAATAAATAAATCCATGAGTTCAATGAAAAAGAAAAAGAGAAAAAGAAAGAAGAACTATTGTCGCCGTTAGTTCCCGAATCTTCAATCTTGACTTCCTCGAATCCCTAGTGTGTTCCTTGCTTTTTCTAGGCCTCCAATGGTGTCAAAAGTCCCAAAAACGAGTTCCTAAGGTATGTTTTATAGTGTAGGGCAACTATGAGTCAAAAAAGGGAAGAAATCGCATAAGAATCCTAGTTCTCGCTGGTGTGTCTGCGCGTTACACGACTCCTGTCACTGACCCACATGAGTCGTGTGACCTTTCTCCAATTTTTTGCAAACTTCCAAACTCACACGACCCGTGTGAGTCCACACGACCCGTGTGTGATCACACGACCCGTGTCACATCCCACACGACTCGTGTGAAAATGTCGTAACGAAACGTATCTTTTTCCTCATCCACACGACTCGTGTCACTGTCCCACACGAGTCGTGTGCCTCAACTGCACCTGGTTTTCGTCGTTTTTCGTCTCGACTCCATTTTTACTGCTTTTTCGAGCATATTTCCTGCAAAACTAACGACAAAAGGTACCTCTATCATAGATTAAAAAATAAGACATCATGGTGCACAATCGAACGATAAACACGGCCAAATATCATAATATATCACTCATAATGCATGTAAATATGACAAATGTCAGTTACAAAGACATGTTTACTTTATTACTTTTTTTAATTATAACCTTAAACAGTTCAATAATCAATGAATATTTAACATATATATATATATACACACACATGTATATAATTGCTAACAAAAAAATTAATAAACTATTTTGATTTTTTTATGTCTTTTTCCAATCCAATAATTTTTTCTATACTAGTAACTGAAACTTAAACAATGACTTTTTTAACATAATAGTTAATTAAAGTGTACTTATATATTTAGTTATTCTATTATATAATAATTGTTACTAAAACTAACCAATTATAATTCACAATAAATGATATATGGAAGTTCAATAAGTATAAAAAAAATATATTGCAATTTTTTTTCTTAAACTATTTATTGCTCTTAAGCATTTTTTGAATAAGCTAATGGCTTTAGTGGTATAACAAAATCTCTTAAAATATCATTAATAATAATAATAATAATAATATTTTGTAAGATAATAATAGGTCAAGATCCTTTAATTTTATAAAAACTACATTATCCATTTTTATTTATGCAATCAATATAGTGATGAAATTGAATATTTTTGTAATGTTCACTTTTACTAATGACAAAATTTTGAAAACGTAATACTATTATCAAGTTTATAATATTAATGTTATATACATACATATAACTTATAATAATTAAACATTTGTGTGTGAACATGATCCAATACTAGTAATATTTGATTGCAGGTCTATACATTTAATGTAATTTTCTCACTCCGATTTTATTTAATTATGAAAATTAATCGTTACATTTTTGTATTCATTAAGTGCAATAATAATTAGTATTACTAAAACAGTTTATAGTTATATAAAATGTAATATGCATATTCTATAACTTATGATTACAAATATACTATCTACAACTTATAATAGTTATTGTGCATTTGTGCATATACACCCGATTAATTGCAATTTTTATGATGTTGCGTCACCAATTAACACATGAGGTTATTATTGATGAGGATATGATTAGTAGGTTGAACACTGATGTGGCATTCAAAACCCTTTTTTTCAAAAANACTTCTTGACATTTCTTGCTTCTACGTAGCGGAATTCGAAGCTTCAAGGCGTGCTTAAACATAAAATTTTTTGTTCAAAATAGTTTTTTTATGTTAACGAGAATTAATTTGAAAAAATGTAGGGTGGGCAAAAAAATCGATTTTTTCGATTCCGAACCGGACCGTAATGGTCCCGTTCCGAAAAATAAGGTTTCAATCGGTTTTTAAATTTTTTGTACCGTTCCCGGTATCGAACCGGTTGAAACAATATCGGTATTGGTTTTTAATATTTTTTTCCTGAACCGTCCTGTTTGTTATATATATATAATATACATTATTATTCTATTTATGTTAGTATTATAGATTAACAATACATATTGAACATGAACTTCTTGTTTCCTAGTTTCTGTAATTTGTATTCAAACTTTCAGTGGGCTTATTTATATTTGTATTTATTAAAGTCTAATACTCTTGGTCCAAAAAAATTAAAAAACTAACTAAACTATTGTCCATTTATTTGCCCAAACTCTGGGAACTGAGAAGGCAAAATATTGATTACGGGGACGGGGGTTCACAAAGCTCACATTCTCCCAACCAATTTCATTTCACATCTCCAATTCTCCATCGCGATTTCTCATTTCTCTCTCAAATCAAATCGGCAATCTGAATCTCTAATCTCCATCGCCATTTTTGTTTTTCAATTTCAGTTCCCAGAATCAAAACCTTAATTCAATCTATATGGCTCTGTGCTAAAATCTCAAATCTCAAATTCCCAATCAAAAAAACAAGAACCCTAATTCCAAAATATCATGGATAAAAGTAAATCCTGCGGCATATCTCTGGAAATTCCTGCAGCTGGGAGGCATTCACGGACAATGGAAACTCCACCAACACCAAGCAGTGCTTCAAATCCTCCCGTGCCTGTGGTGGTGCAGCCCGCAAATATACCAACCGGGCCGAATATTCTATTTGAGCTTCCTCCAGGTATGAAGGCTAGGGTTTATAGGTCCTCCATTTGGGAACATTTTACTACTATTTGGTGTTCAAGTGAATCATATCAGTATGTATACTTAATGGAATCATAATGTATTTACTATTTGGTGTAAGTGTAACTGTGTAAGTGAACTTTGGAATGGAAATTGGAATCAGTATGGCAAGTTTAAGAGTTAAGAATTTAAGTGAAACTGTGAATGCAGAANAGTTCTTTGTGTCTTTGTTGCCTTGCTAGTGTGACAGTGAATCAAAGTATTTTTATTAAGTGTAACAGTGAATCAGTTTGAAGTTTTAAACTTTTTTTATCCGTTTTTGTCTCGGCCCCGAACTGTTTTGTCCCGATTTCCATTGATACCGATCCGTTTGGGATGGAGTCTCATCCCGGATCGGTTTATAAAAACGGGACAGGTACCGAGATAAGTAAAATCCCAAACCGTCTCGGACCGCGCCCACCCCTTTAAAAATTTAGTATGATTAGTTGTTATTAAAATTTTGGGTTATATTAAAACAATATCTAAAAATTTAATAATTAAAATTGATTTGATGTAAAAGTAAGAAAGAGATGATGTAAAATGGTGGTTAGTTAAAATTATGTGAGTGAATGAAGAATGAATTAAAATTGATATAATGTGTTTGAATAATTGATTAATATTATTCAATTACATTGATGATATTAAAGATAGTGAAATTAAATTAATAAACCTACCATATTAATAAAATTATATTAGTGTTATTTAAGTAATCAAAGAATATGGTAAGTTTATTTATTGTATATAGAAGGTTGACTCCACTATGAAACCAATTGTTGGCTCCATAGCAAAACCGTTGAACCGAATATGGAATGAATAATTTTATATCCATGCACCCCATTTGTTTGAGTTTGGCTTAATAATTTAAATGATAAATAAATTAAATAACTCATAATTTTTTGAAGCTTTTAAAATCTCAAATACGAGCAATGTAACAATTGAATCAAGAAAATGTAGTAGCACGCCAATTTAGAAATTTTGCAAAAAGTAAAACATATCTATATCAAACGAACAAAAAGTTGAATACAATTCAACTTTACCGCATATTGATAATGAAGTTGATTCAATTTGATTGCAAATGGATAATCCAACCACAACCAAGTAACAACCAAAACTCATCACCGTTAATGATTGTAATAAGCCCATATTAAACGTCATTATCACTAACTAATGATAACAACAAACAAATGAAGAAAGAAAAGAATAGCAATAGAACATTCAAATTGGAATATACACAAATGAAAGCAGGCACATTCTAAATATCTGCTCAGAAAGAGCAAGAATCCACAACTGTAGTGTCCCAAAACGAACCAAAATCCAAGTCTTTCAATTTATTTATTATAAAGATATAGACGATAATGGAGGAGGCACAAACAAATCCGTTTTGAAGAAGAAAATAAAATCTTGAAAGCCTGCTCTTCAAAAGCAAGCATCCAGCAGGCAACAACAGCACAGAGCTGCCAAACTACACAAAAGGTATAAAACATAAGTCAAATTCACACCATCAAATTGATGAAAAATTAAGCCTAGATTGCACAAAGCAGCAGAATATATTAATCATATTTCTCAAAATAAAACATGAACAATATCCTAACAAACCACCTTAGTAATTAAAAGATTTTTTTTTTTTTTTTNTTTTTTGGTATCTAACTGGCCTTGAGTTGAAGAATAAAGCCACCACAAGTTGATTAGTGAAAGGTTTTGCTTGGGATTTTCATGGTCAAGTTGAAACAAATGCAATTGTTATCATAATTTATATCATAATTTACAAAAAGCAAACACATAATGGAAAAATAGTGGAGATAATGGTCAAGGGCATTATTGGTAATTCAACAACCCAAACCAAGTACGCAACCCACCCTACAACCGACGGCCCACCGCGCACGTTAACATCCGCGTTTTTTAGACTCGCCGCCAAACTCATCGAATCAATAGCAAACACAACAGATCGTTCAGATCTGAACCTCACAGAAATAAGAAAATCGAACTTCACACAGAAATCCAGTGATCGGGCGTAGATTAGCTTACCATCCCTGTAATAATCCGGAGCTGCCGCTCGATTGCTGTTGCGGCGGAGGCTGGCCGTACTGCGGGGCGTACTGCGGCGGATACCCTCCCTGAGGGTACCCCTGCGGCGGGTATCCCTGCTGCGGGTAACCAGGCGGCGGATATGCGTCCTTTGCGTAGCCTTCTGGCGGGTATCCTGCGCGTCGCAATCCAAAACAAAAATCGATTAGATCAAACTCCACCGAGATTCGCAAAATTAAAAAAACAGATAAAATCGTAAATAAATAAATAAATAAAAGAGTCAGATGGGATGAAGAAGTTGCCTTGAGGAGGAGGCACGCCAACTGGGGGCTGTGGCTGATTCTGATTGTAGTAACTCATGGTTTTTGTTCCTTTAGATTGGGAGAAAGGGGAAAATGGAGTAAACTAATGAATGCGGTTGGGGGAGAAGGGGGTTTTATAGAGGAAGCATATGATATTTGTGCAGTGTGTTGGTTAAAAATTATATTTAAAAAAAAAAGAATTATATAACAATAAAAGTTTTTTATTTATGTGTTGACGGACGTTTCCGGTCAACGGTTAAAAAGGTAAATAATAGAAAAGAAAATAATGTAAAGACAAGGAAATACGGTTTAATTGCGGTTTTATTGATAGATCGCGAGGTCGGCCTCTCGTACGAGGTCGGCACTTGCAATATTCTTACAAATTATTACAGAGTAATCATACGAGTTTTTAGAGAGAGAAAGTAGAGAGAGAAAGTAGAGAGAGATAGCTTTTACACTTGAGATTCAACAACCCAAAATAAATGAGAAGGGTTGCTATTTATAGTAGCCTTAAATGTGGCACTGTTCAGGTACTGTTCATCAGTCTTGTCGTACAGTGTTCCTGCAGGACAGTCCGGCGCCTCCCTAACAGCATTAAATGCGATTTGAGGTTTTCCTCATCATTAGGTGACAGACATTTAATGCTGGCAGGCTTTATGTCTTAGCTAAGAGGAGTAGGTCAGCAGGCTATGATGTCCCATCCATTTAGCCAATGATTGTCCTCCAAGTGGCATTATTATACCATTATAGAGATCGGCATTCTCCGTTGTAGAGGCCCGCTCTGGGACCCCAAGTCGGCACCTCGGCATCTTACCTTCATCTGTTCCCCTGGTCCTGGGGAATCTTTCTTTCAGTCCGTCATTTTTCAGCCCGGCACCCGTGGCGTCGTAATCGAAAATACCGAACTGACGAATGGTCTCACGGCGATGCCAGGGTCAAAAAGTTTTTCGGTCCAGCTCGGCACTCTATGGGTGGACCGGATCTCTGGTTCGGCTCTCGGAATTGTGTGGTCCGGTTCAGTCTCATGGGCGAACTCGGATGTCAACATATAGGCCCCCGGGCTCGGAGAGGGTGTGCTTCGGCATCCTCTGTGAGGCCGTCATCCTTAGAATACATTTGGGGTCGGCACATGACCTGGACTTGAGCAAATCACAACCACAATTTGCCCGTTATCTTCTGATCTGAATGGACGTCCCATTTAATGCGTTGTGACCGTTGTGCTTCCTGTCGGTTACGAAAAGGCGTGCCGGTTCAGAGCTTTTACACGTGTCGCCCATTTATTGGCGCTCTCCAAACGTCGTGTCGCTTCGTCGAAGCGGTGACTTTTGGGGCGCGTGGCTTTCACGCGGCCGTTCATAAACCGTCGGATCGTTTCGCCCCCCACCGTTGGATCGTGTCCTTAATTTCGAATTTTAAATGCTGCGCCACGTGTGACGTTGTGATTGGTTCTCCGTATGTATATATATTCCCATCGTCTTCCTCGAGAAGCTTTTACGAATTCCGAAATTTCTGAGCAATTGACTCTCTGAGCAACTAAGTTTTCCAGCAAGGGTTCCGAGGCTAATTTCGAGATTCCTTCGAATCTTTTCGGCGCTTCTCGTACCGGTAATTCCGTTTCCTTCGAAATCTTCCTTCCTTTTCTGTTTTATTTTCGATTATGTCGAGTTCTTCCGATTATGCGGCGAACTTCCCTGCCGGAGATGGCGGATTCGTGGCGGAGGAGACGGGGGAGTTGGTGGTTTACTCCCCTCCGGCGGCGGAGATGATGCGACCGCTCAGGGTTACGCCGATCTCGGCCGTCCGCGTTACGTCAGCGACAGCGGAGGCGGGTACGCGTCGCGAGGGTCCTTCGGATTTTCCCACTGTCGAGATCATCGACCTCGGCTCCGACCGGTCCGACGGCGGCGAGGTTGAGAAGGAGGCCTGCGCTGCCCCCTCCGAGGACTCTGATGTCGACGCCGAGCTGGTCGATGAGACGCTCCGCGGTGATACCCACGGGAGGGAGCGGGTCCCCATGGGCCGTGAGGATTCCGAGACCGACGCTTCCGTCGAGGATGCCACCGCGGTTCCTCCCGGATGTTGGCGCCGCCCTGCGCGTGTGTGGCCGTCTACTGCCTCGGCAACTGCCTGGACGACGGCGTCGATACTGAGGGACGTCGATCTCGCCCAACTGCGGGGAAAAGCGTGCTTCGGTGCCGGGGTCCGAGTTTTCGCCCCCTACGCCGGCGAGCGAATTCATTGCCCCCCGCCGGGCTGTATCGGAGTGTATCGTTCCAGCATCCTGCTCGGTCTCCGATTCCCTTTGCCAGGAGCCTTGAGCGACATCCTTAGTGGGATCGGTATCGGCATCAGCCAGTTCGTCCCGACAGTCTTTGCCCGGCTGGTCGGCCTTATAGTCCTTTTCCGCCAGCAGGGTTGGGCTGACCCGACTAGCGATGAGGTGAAAGCCCTCTTCGATTTCAAGAGGTCTGGGGAGTCCGGCAATTATTATAGCTCGGTATCTCCCGGCGTAGAAAAGTCCTTGATTCACAAGGTCCCAGAGTCACTGCATGGCTATATGCCGGAGTGGTTTTGGGTCGGCGGCGAATGGAAGACGCCGAACGCGGCTCGGCACCCGTCGACTGATTTCATCTCTGGCCCTTGTAAGTTGTTTATTTTCGTTCATTTCCGCTCTTCTAATTAACTGTTCTTGTCTGCTAACAGGTCGGTGTTTACATTTCAGTCCACAACCCCCATATTGAGCCAAGTGACGAGCTAGTCGCAAAGGTCGAAACCCTGCTCGGACTTTCTGCGGACAAGCGTAACTACCAAAGTCTTGTCGCGGAAGAGAGCTTGATCCAGCACAATCTCTGTCCCGAGTACAACAACAAACACTTCGAGCCCGGTACTCCTCTATCCTCAGTTTCTCGTTCATGTGTTTAGGTGCCCTTACATTCTGTTCTCACTCTTGCATTTTGTTAATGTCTGACAGTGTACTACCCTCTCCATCGCGAGTGCGGATTCGGCTCGGTGAAGGAAGCTAACAAATACGCGCGCGCACACCCGAGCTCTCTAAAAGACCGAAAGATGGCCAGCCGTATGGATTTCTTGACAAGGCAATCGAAGAGGAAGGCCCCAGCGTCGAGCTCAACGGGGGCTTCAGACCCCGCTCCGCCGAAACCAACCTCCGGGGCCACGCTTCCCCGAGAGGCCGAGGTACCTGCCAGCTCGGCCCCAACCGTTACCGCCCCCGCTCCCGCGGGCGGACGAAGGAGCCGGGCTAATGCCTCTGAGTCCGGCGCCGGCTACGGCCGAGGTGCCGCCAGTCAGGGCGGGCCTGCCCGTCAGAGGAAGCGTCGGATCCTCGCGGAGGAGCCGGAGGAGCCTGCGGAGGACGAGGTCGGGGTGCAGAACAGTGCCCCGCCGTCCCCGAAGAAGAAGAAGGTGACTGAGGTCCCGGGGGCCGCCACCGCGGGTGAGAGGTCGGCTCATGTCCATCAGGCGGCTCCTCGACATATATACCCGTGAACCCGAGCCGCAAGGCCAGCCTCTCCAAGAGCCTGGAGGGGTTTCCTGACCAGTGGTTCATCGACTCGGCGTCGGCGATTCCACTTGAGTTGCCCAATCCCCACAGTCTGCCGAGGGAGGTGATGTCCGCGGCGCAGGCCGTGATGGCCTCTTGGACCCCGACCGCTGAGACGGCGATGACTATGCTCTCGCCGACACAGCTCATTCAGCACTCGGTGGCGTCCATGGGCCGGACCATGGTCGAGCTGATCCACGCCGCCGTGGCCATGCAGCGGGAGGTCGACGCCCGTGACAGGGCCGAGGAGGATCTGGCCACCTCTAAGGGGCGGATCAACAAGCTGAAGGACGAGGTCCAGAAAATCTCGTCCCTGGAGAACGAGCTGATCCTCCAACGCGGAGCCGTTGCCGTGGCGGAGAAGGCAGCGGCCAAAGCCGCCGAGGATTTGGCCCGCGAGAGGGCGGCGTGGGCTCAGAGGGTGGAGGAGGTGGAGACGAGGCGGGCCGTCGAGTTGTCGGAGAGCGAAGCGCGCCGAGCTGACGAGGTCCGCGGGCTGGAAGAAAAGCATAAAGCCGACCTCGCCCACCTTGCTGAGCTGCACGCCGCCGAGATGGCCGCGCTCAAGGAGAAACACGCAGGGGAAGTCGCCGGGCTGGTGAGCTTCGGAAATCGGCTGACCTCCCAGCTCACTCTTTTGAAGGAGGCCGCCAAGCAAATTGATGGCGAGCCCATTGCTCTCCCTCCGCCGGCAACCTTCGCCGAGGTCCAGGCTCAGTATTTTGAAGAGATGAGGGAGAGCATGGATATGGCGGCGGCCTTCAACCTTTACTGGCTGTTCCAGAGGCTGGATGCCGGGGTGCTGTCCCTCGACGACTTCCGGGCCATCCTCGCCGAGAAGGCGGGTCGGCACGACCTGGATTTCGAAGGCCAGGTTTGTGAGGTCGACCCTGACGAAGCCGCGGTGGTCCGGAAGCTCCGGGGGTGGGAAGACGATATCATCGTCGGCTTTGAGAAGTTCGGCGCCGTCCCCACCCTGGAGACGTGGAAACTGGCCCCCGGGGAGCTGCTGCCGGAGTACAAGCCGTTTGCCCCCGAAGCCGAACCCGACCCTCGGCCAAGACGCGGGGTTGTGCTATCCGTGATCACTGAGATGGAGGAGGCCGAGAAGGCGGCTGCGGCAGCGAAGGCAGTTGCCGATGCCGAGGCTGGGGTCGGTACCTCTGGAGCGAAGGAGGCAGGGGCCGGAGAAGAGGGTGCGGCGGAGGCCGGAGTCGGAGTGGTAGATGCGGAGCCTTAGGCCGGCCTGCGTGCCGCGATGCTTTTGGCCGTATGTGGCCCTTTTATCTTTTTATAAAAAGGTTTAATTTATGAATAGTTTGCTTGTTTTGGCCTGCGAGCCACTTTAAGAACTCAAGTTATGAATGCTTTTGTGTTTTTAATGGATATTATCATTTGCCTGTTTCGAATGAATTCTTAATGTTCTATTTACTTAGCCGTGGATGAATGTTTTTCTGCGTTTTCGATATTTGCAAGTATGGGCTTGGTGCCGCACT